GAGCGCCACCGGCACACCTGTTGGTCGCACCACATCCATGTCAGGCCACCCACCCACCCACCCACCATGACGACGCACACTGCACTTCGAACCCAGGGGCTTACCGGCTTCGAGCATCTTGCGAGCGGGCGGGTGCTCCAAAGCGTAGAATGTAGGCCGTGGTGGGCAGGAGCACGGCGAACGTCGCGACCTTGGCCATGGCCGCAACCTGCCTTCATCGCTCCACCTGCATTCGATGACGGTACCGTCAGGAGGAGCGTTGATGGTGATCCCCCCCCCGACCACACCGCCGACCACACCGCTGAAGCCGGCGAAAGGCGAAGGGAGTGAGAAGGTGCGGGTCCGTACTCGCTCGAGGTGGCCTGATGCTGAGCGCACCAAGCTCTCCACCGAGCTCTACGGCGTTCATGTAGTTGATCTCGTCGCCATGCAAGTTGAGCAAAAGGCCGGCCTCCTTGCCCGCCTCAAGAATGCGCCTGCCGTGATTCGTACACGCACACCCACACACATCATCATCGTCACCATCATCATCATCAAGCGCAGGTCTCGAGGGAGAGTGGGAGAGGTCGAGCCCCCAATATTATACTTGGGCCTGGTCGAACACGCCCTTCAACACACATCGATGAGCTCCTGTTATGGAGCCAAGAGAGAGAGGGAGAGAGAGAGTGAGCTTGTCTTGGATCCACAGCCATGGACCAGCCACCACACCACACCATAGCGCTGATAGGCACGTGCACCTTGAGGGGAATCCGTTCGGTTGTTGGAGAATGCCTTCTTCGACGTGGCCTGGTCGGCAGTCCCTGTACGGTGCGGAGGAGGCGCACGACCTACCTTGAGCATCTTCATCTCCGTCTCGAGGCCGCAGCCGCTCTTGCACTCGACGAGCGTCGTGCCCAAGCGCAGCATGCGGTTCAACCGTTGCAGGCACCCTATTACTACAGGGGACCCCGTCCACAACGATTCAAGTCAGAAAGGGTGATGATCGTTGCAACCAAGGCGTGCTGGACGCACACACACGACACACACGACACGCACGACACGCACGACACACTTACCCAGCAGCTCCTCCTCCTCCTCCTCAGTGGCGGTGCGGGTGTGGCCGAAGAAATTGTGGTGGATGTCCATGTCGGCCGGGTGGCACCCGCCAGCTTCATCGCGAACTCGTGCACACGTGGTCGCCGGCCCACACGGGGTGAGACGCGCGCGCGTGTGCCCGTCCACCAACCCTGCAGGCAGCATCGTAAGAGGAGAGGCTCAGCGCAGTCTCCAACGCGTAGTGTGTGTGTGGGGGGTCGCCGTACTTGGCCAGGACCACCGCCTTGAAGGTGGCATCGATGCGTCCACTTCGTAGGGAAGGCCTCGGTCTTGCTCAGCTCCTCCTCATTGCCCACGGCTGCGATGTTACCCTCACGATTATGGTGCCATTCTCAGCTTTGATTACTGACTTGACCCGTGTGCAGCTCACTGGTTAAGTCAGTAATTGGCTCTTCTTTCAAAGAATCGCAACTTTCCATTGAGATTAGGGGAAGTGCACCTCATCCTGAAAGCGCTGACCGGCCCCGAGCCATGATGATGCATCGTAACCAGCCTGTGGTGCGGCGTTCCTAACCCGCAAACGATACACGCCACTGCTGTCTGCAATATTTGTTGTCGTTTGCCAAATACTGAATTGTGCAAAATTTGTCGTTTGCCAAGGCGAAATGAGATGAAATCGAAACGAAACCAAAAACGCAGGTGTTTGTCGACGAGTTGGGTGAGTCCATCGCCGATGATCTTGTGGGTGGTCTCGCCGGTGCGGCCGCCGCTGGCCTCCGAGGGGTTGGGGGGCGGTGGGGGACTTGGGCGAGTGAGTGTGGAGGAGGACCTCCTTGGGTGCGGTGCCACACCTCGCGGTCGACGCACAGGGCCTCGTACAGCATCGACCCGTCGGGTCGCGACGTCTTCATCGCCTGCAGGATCCGCTTCTCCAGATTCAGGATCTGGAAAGCCAGCCGCACCTGCAGACAGACACCACACACACACACACACACACAACGACACTCGCGCGCGTCAGCACACGCGTCATCGCACACGCACACAAAAGAGCGCACGTACTTCTTTGGTGTAGGTCTGGATGGCGCGGACGCCCTCGCGGTCTTCGAGTTCGATGAGGCGGTCGTGGCGGTCGGCCAGCCCGGCTTCGGCCTCGTCGGTGGCAAAGTGCGCGGCGAGCGGGACCGGCTGCTTCTTGTACAGACCCACCATCCCCGCCACCGCCGCCGCATCAAAGCACGCCGGACCCTGCACGTCACCACACACACACACACACACACACACGCTTGTGAGTGCGGCCGCACACGCGCAACCGCACACGCATGACACGCACCACCGCACACGTGTGTGCGCACACGCACCTGGGAAAGGTAGACGCCCATGTGGGAGACGATGTTCTCGCGGGTCGCGCCGTTGGGCCATCGGTCGAGCAGCCCGCGCAGGTGCGCGAAGAAGGTCTGTGTGTCGAGCGCGGAGCCGACGGCGGCGTCGCCCAGAAGCACGCTGTCGGGCAGCGGGACGGGGAACACGAACAGGAGGGCCAGGAGGTGCTTGATGCACGTGTGGTGCGACTCCGTGTGCAGCCGCTGCAGCAACGTGCCCTGCACGCGCTGCCAATCGAACCTGCGCCGGCACACAATGATGACGTCAGCACTGCTTTCTCTGTGTCGTGTGTGTGTGTGTGTGTGTGTGTGTGTGTGTGTGTGTGTGTGTGTGTGTGTGATGGTGCGTACAGGAGTGAGGTGTCGGACTGGAGGGCCTTGAGGGCAAACTTGATGGCGAGCGCACGCACTTCGTAGTCCAAGTCCTCGATCAGCTCGAGGAGGCGCGTTGTGGCCTTCTCCCGCTCGCCGCCCTCAACCAGGGCCGCGAGCTCGAGCGTGGCCGCCTTCCGGCGCAGCGTGGCCGACATGATGTGGCCCATCGTGTTCACCAGCGGCTCCGTCGTTTCTACGCCATCACGCGTCAGCACAACACGACACACACCGCACACACCACACACGGGGGGGGGCAAGCGTACCGGGCTTCATGCGGAGAGATGAGACCCAGCGGGTGGAGCGCTCCTTGAGGCCGAACGAAAAGGGGACGAGCGAGGCGACGATGGACAAGAATTCGCTCTGGACGGGCGGGCAGACAACGCCCAGCAGGAGCACTTCCTTGGCCTGCACGCTCGCCACCGCCGCCTCCACGATCGCGGCCTTGAGGGCCGCGTTGTTGGAGGTCAGGTGGGCCTCGAGAATGTGGCACGGATCTGGAGCAGCGTGCCGTGCGCCAGGTTGTGGTCGATGCCCGCTGGTGACACGCACACACACGCACGCACACACACACACACACACACACGCACCCACACCATCACACACAGGATCAGTAGTGTCTCTACACCTCGATCGCCACCTTACATGCACAATAAAAAGGAATGATGAATAATAAAAATAAACAAAAGAAGGTGGTACCGGCGTGGTCGGGGATGGGAGGCGAAGAGGGAGGCGATGAAGGCGGCGACGTGCTCGGGAGGGACGAGAGGCACCAGCGCCC